AGCCTGGTTCTGCCGGAGGTTTCTTCCTGTTAAAAGGGAGTTTTTCCTTCCCACTGTCGCCAAAGTGCTTGCTCATAGGGGGTCATATGACTGTTGGGTTTTTATCTGTATCTATTATTGTAGTGTCTCCCTTACAATATAAAGCGCCTTGAGGCGACTGTTTTTGTGATTTGGCACTATATAAATAAAATTGAATTGAATTGAATTTCAAAAATCAAGGCAAATAAATCAATTACAGGACAAAAATAAATGAACACATGAAAGGTCTTAGCTTCAGGGTGTCCAAGGCCAAAACAACACACAAAACATTCTTTTCTAGCTTAAAATAAAAGACTGATCTATCTACAAGAAAACAAAGTGGCAGAGGGAGCAGTGTCAGTGGCAAGTGTAAGGTTTATAGTGTGTGTGTATACATGATTATAATGATACTAAAGCTGCTTTTATTGTGATATGTTCAGTACCTCTGTTACAATATTACTGTTTTTTTAAGACATATGTTTTGATTTTGCGGCCTGAAAAACGTGAGCGTGTATCAGGGGGGTTAGTTGCTGGATCTGGAGAGTGAGTTATTCAGGAAGGACTCTCCCCAGCATTAACGGCTCTGTTACTGTGCCACCTTAATAAAATGTTTAAATACCACAACCACAACTTAACATGTGCACAAGTAATGAATGAATGTCAGTGATCCGTGGGGTGTCTTTTTTTAAATCAAATATCTCAGGGCTCCAAAAATGTTTAAATATCATCTGAAAGATGTATTTAACACTTGCATGTTATTAATAATTTTACTGATGCAAATGTGGGTCTTTCTAAAGGTTTACAGCCGCTCATTCTGTGATCACCTCAGAGGTAAGAAGGCTGAAGCTCAGCAGCTGATTGTCATCAAAGAAAAGATCAAAAAAGATGGTACGTTCAGATTTTAATTCTTTCATTCTGAATAAGCATACTGTACATGTTAAGACAACAGAACAGTTTATCCACCATATTTTGATAGTTAACAATAGATAAGTAAAAATAATAAAATATTAACATTTGTACTCATTTCTGTGTACAGTATATAATTTAATGTCTGTGCCTTTGCCATACAATGCAAGAAAAGATGACTAGAGTTTCTTCTTTGTCACACTGGACTTCCTCAGACAAATGGGAAAAATCAGCTAAAGTTCAGTTTACTGGCTTGTTTTGCAGCTTCTTCATTGCAGCTTCATCTTCATTAGCAGGTGCAGTTTGCTCAGTTATGTTTTTAGGACTTCTTCTCTGTCAGCTTAAATGTTAAGATTAATCTGTATTTGATCCAATTTCCTCAAGGAAAAAGATCAGACTCACTGATTGACTGGACAGATAATCAGAGGATCAGAGTTTTTACCACCATCATTACTGCCGGGACAGAAGAATGGGTAGAGTTTCTCAGTGAAGGAGAAGCCAGAAAAGGAATATATCACATCTACATCATCTACATCATGAAAGGACACCAGACCCTCCTCATAATCCACAAACACCCCCACCTTCTGAGGACCAGACTGAAGAGGGAGATGGACTGGAAGGTCATCAACTGCTACACAAATATTTTCACATACTCCTACAATCCAGTAACCATTTTTAGGACTCAATGTCATGACTTCCTTCCTGTTGACTGACTCTCTGGCCACTCCTAAAACCCAGTCAGGCTTTTCTTTAACCTGAATCTCAAAGTAAAATCTGCCTGAAGATAAACTCTGCTTTCCTAAAACAATGGGAAATTTAGAAAATCTCTCTGGGTTGTCTGGAAGATCATTCTCCTCTTCACCACAGTGTACTTGTTTTCCATCATCAGACAGGATGAGATACGGATGTGCTGTATCAGGATCAAGAGTCACATCCACTGCATACTGCTGGACCCTCTTCAGTTCAGCCTCAAACAGCTTCTTCATGTCTTTACTGAATATCTCCTTCAGCTGATCCACAGCTCTCACCACAGCTCTCACCACAGTCCCCTCATATGATGGTGGATGGATACTGACCTCTGTCCAGTCCTTGGTGGTTGGAGCAGCTTTCAGGGATGAGAATCTTTGGAGGAGGTGGAGGTGATCTTTAGAGCGTGAGAGCTGCTCCACCTCAGAGCTTCTCTTCATCAGCTCAGATATTTCCTGTTCCAGATCTGTGATGAAACCTTCAGCCTGTTTCTCTGTTGTTTCCTGTTTCTCTTCAATCTCCTTTATGAGCTCGTTCAGGCTTCTGTCAACAGACTCCTTCAGAGCAGTGAAGACCTGAACACCTTCTGCTTTCTTTCTCTCTGCAGCATCTTTGCTCATCTTCACTGACTCTTTGATCTCCTGAATCTTCAGTTGTCTCTTCTGGATCATCTGTTGAGTTTCAGTCTCAGTCTTCCCCAGCTCTGCCTTCTTTACTTCACATTCTTCTCTCAGAGAAACAAACTCATGAGTCTTGTGGTCTATAACAGAGCAGAGCATGCAGACACATGTCTGATCGGTCTTACAGAACAGCTCCAGAGGTTTATCATGCTTCATATACATATCCTGCCTTCCAGGTTCTCCTCAGGATCAATCAGCTGATGTCTTTTCAGCCGTGAAGCTGTCAGATGAGGCTCCAGGTGAGTCTGACAGTAGGAGGCCAGACACACCAGGCAGGACTTCATAGCCTTCAGTTTGGTTCCAGTGCAGATGTCACAGGGAACTTCTCCTGGTTTGGCAGCTTGTTGCTCTGAGCTGCTGCTGCTGACTTTCTGCTGAGCTTCAGATCTAAACTCCGAAACCATCTCAGAGATGAAAGTGTTGATGTGCAGCTCAGGTCTGGTCTGAAAGATCTTTTTACACAAAGGACACTGACACCTCTCACTGATATCCCAGTGTTGACTGATGCAGTTTTTGCAGAAGTTGTGTCCACATGGTGTGGAGCCTGGATCAGTGAAGACATTCAGACAGATGGAGCACAGAAACTGATCTTCAGATAGAAGACAGCTGGCAGCAGACATGTCTGCACTCTGAGTGAGAAAGACAAGAAAATGATTTTATTTTAAATTCAGTTTTAATCATATTTAAAGAAGACTTGTTCTGCTTTTTCTTCATTTCTGTCTTATGTCTCCTTTTCCAGTGCTGGATGGTCGAGATAAACATGATGAAAGTTTGAAATAATAATAAGTCAGTGTATGTGAAATTAATCCCTGTGATCCCAAAGTTCACATGTCACACTGCTCTAAATAAAAAGTATCACGCAGTTCTTTTAGTCTTAGATCTGTTTGAAGATAGAAATCGAAGGGATGATGTTGAATGTCATCAGTGTGAATGCCCCTGAGAGCTCAAGTTAGTCTCTCTTCTGATTTCTATCCTCAGACCACCGGGCAATGGAGAAAGCTAACCAAGAGGTAAAAGCTGCCCTTTTGCCTCCTTTAACCAGTCCTCCTGAGCTTCAAACTGTCCTGATCAAATACACACATAACTCCACAACTTCCACTCCTCTCTCTACTGGTCTTTCCCCATTAAAGTCTTTACTGGGTTACCCACTACCATAAATCATCTGCTATCAAAGATGGGATTACTGTTTCCTCACTACAACATCTTGCATGTTGGTAGTTAGGGAGGTCCACATGAGAAGGCCCTCTAAGCAAAATAGACGTCTGGCCAACCACTGGATCCCAGCACCAAGATACCACCCATGTCAGAAAGTCTGACCAAAAAGTCCACAAAGTATGTGTCTTTACAATACAAGTCAAAGAAACTCTCACCTAACTATGTCGGTCCCTTTTAAATTTAAAAAAATGTGAATGAACAAGTTGCTGTGAAAGTGAGTGTCATGAGTTCACTTACCAATGTTTGTAAAGACTCTGCTGTGTTGTTGAGGAAAACCTGATGGATCCAGTTGACCCTGAGATTAGAGATTTAATTGTAAACTTCATTGTCTCTGGAGGATGATCCACATTTAGACTTTTAAACAGTTCAATCATGATCATCTGTACTCACCAGTGTTGGAAAGAAGCTCTGCTGTGCTGATATGAAAGGATCAGTGAGCTCAGTTTAATGTTCATTTGAAAAGAAACTGATTCTGCTCAAGTGAATTTCTATTGTTACACATGCTTTTAGTTTCATCCTTCATTATCATCCAACTTTCATCAGTGGAATGTCATCCATCTAGAGTTTTGTGTCACATCTTACTACATTTATTTTAATGGTTTATTTAATTCTAATAATTTACAATACATTGTATCGGTTCCCACATGGTTCAACAACCAAAGAAACAACAAGGTTTATCACTTTTCAGCCAATCACAGCTCAAGATTACCAAAGAGTTGTCCAAATAAGAAAACTCATGTTTGTCACAGAAGTGGGCGTAGGGTTGTTTTTGTATTTGATGTTTGATTCTTAAACTGTGAAAGAGGAGAGTTTAAATTTAGACATTTAAAACAGCCTGATCATGGTCACCTGTATAAGCTCTGTTGGACAGAAGCCCTGCTGTGTCGTAGCAAAAGGCTCAATGAGCAAAGTTTTAGGTTCTTTTAAAGAGAAATAGATTTTTGCTCAGGTGTATCTCTCACTTTCATTTCTGAATTCTGACGCTGAATTTCTCATCCTTCAGGTTTTCCCCCGCCTCTTTCAGCAGGTGAGAGACATTGTTTACCAGTAAATATTCAATTGGAAGTGAAGCTCACTGTAATGTTGTAAATATCTTTAAACTGGTGTTGTAACTGCTTTTTTTTCAGGGTGGGGTAAACTGCACATCATGCATCTTTACTGACTTTAGTTGGGTGCACAACTTTGAAATTATTTTAGTTTTTCTCTAAACGTACAGGCTCAAATATAAACATGCACGCCACTAATAAATGTCTCTTTTGACAAGTTTCCTTTTGATCAGCAAGCTTTTGAATTCTAGATATTTGCAGAGACTCTCTTTGGTAGAAATGCAAATGCCAAGAGTTTCCTGATATGGACTTAACCCACACATTTTCAAAGAATTTCACAGCAAATCAGCCCTAGAGCATGATTTATGACAGTTCTTAGGTCCAATTGACTTTTCTCACCGAAACATACTCATCATTGTGTCCGAATAATTCCATGTTTGTCTGATCTGACCATAAAAAATTCTCCAGAAGACACCTATTTGGCTTGTCCATGTAGGCAGCTGTAAATTTTAGTCGTTGGACATTGGACACTTTTAAAACCCGTCTGAAAACCCAAGTTTTATTCCTTGACTTTTAAATCAGAATGAGCTTGTATTACTTTTATTTATCTTATTTCTTACTCAAATCTTCTAATTTTTTGATTCTATGTTTTTATTTCTCTCAATTATCTTAATTGTACACCACCTTGGTCAACGGTTCTTGTTTTAAATGTGCTATATAAATACATTTGACTTTGACTGGTTTGTAATTTTTCAAACTTTACTCTTTCTTGTAATTCCCACGCGTGGCCACCAGAGGGCAGAAAAGACTCCAAACACCTGAAACACGACGAGCTTTGAGGTGGTCCAAGCAAAGCGCGATCCCCAAGTATCGCGATACTGACAGGTTGCAGGGAACCTTCTGCGACGCTCCTGTCGGCTTTTATTTGTTTATCTCTCGCCGAATTTTACTAAAATGACATTTTTATTTGACAACGTATCAGTTAATAATTGAAGAGATTTTATTTTAGACCCGCAGCGGTGAGCACGGAGCAACATGGAGGTCGCTGAAGGTAAACAACAACAACAGCCAGTGAAATGATGCTGAGTTAGCCTGGTTAGCTTCAGGAGCTAACGTAAATAAAGGCTCTGCAGTGCTGTTCGTGCTGCTGGATCATTTCATGTGTGAAGTCTGACAAACACAGTGGAGACTCTCGGTGGTGATTGCATTCATAGAGATAGTTGTTTTTGTTGTTCAGGTAAAAGTGAGGAGATCTGCCCTCATCCTGTGATATGAGGCAGGTGAAATGTTTCCCCTCCTCCTTTTAACTCATCGATTGAATTCAGTAAAGGCTGAGATAAAGGCTGTTTATTGGGGTGGCTGTAGCTCAGGTGGCAGAGCGGATCAGCCACTAACCAGAAGGTCGGTGGTTCAATCCCAGGCTGCTCCACTCTGCATGCCAAATATCCTTGGGCAAGATACTAACCCCATGTTGCTCTCCGATGCATCCATCGGAGTGTGAATGTGTATGAATGTTAGATACTTAGCACTTAAGCTTAGAAGTGCTTGTGTGAATGGGTGTGATTGGGTGAATGAATTAGCTGTATAAAGCACTTTGAGTGCTCGGACAGAGTAGAAAAGCGCTATATAAGAACCAGTCCATTTAGCACCCGGCTCCTCCTCCTCGGGATAAACAAAAATATTATTAAAAACACGTGGATCTTTAATTTAAGCTTTTATTCTTATTTATATGAGTGTGTTGAGCAGGTGAAATCTCATTAAACCGATGAGCATGGACATTAACGTTAAATAAACAGTGAGTGTTTACAAATCAAATTAACACTGATGACGTCCTCACTTTCTTCCAGGTGTGAACGCTGCCACGCCCACGGAGGAGATGAACGGTGCTGGGAACCTGATGGACTTCCTGGATGAGCCTTTCCCCGATGTGAGCACGTACGAAGACTTCCACACCATTGACTGGCTGAGAGAGAAATCCAGGGACACGGACCGCCACCGTAAGGTGTGTGCTCCATCTATTCCTCTCCCTCCTCATTGTGAGGCGTGAGGCGTGATGCGTGAGCTTTTATTTGAAATCCACACAGCAAACCTGTAAGTTGATCCTGTGTTTCTGCAGATCACCAGCAAGAGCAAAGAGTCCCTCTGGGAGCTGATTAAGAGCCTGCTGGACGCCTGGTCGGGATGGGTGGTGATGCTGCTCATCGGCCTCCTCTCAGGTCAGGCTCGCCGTGTCTCTGATCTCCTCCTCCTCTTCGTGCTGCTGGGCTTAAATTTCCCAGGCTTCATCTATCTAGCTTCCTTTTTACCTTTATTTCTGTTTCTTACTCTGTTGTTGAAGCTGCAGACGTCTCTCTGGATGTCCGAGTGACACCGGAAGAGAAACAGGAGCAATCTGAGAGTGATGAAGGTGTTTCTGAGGTGGAATGACTCCTCCCCTTCTCCTCCACAGGGACGCTGGCCGGCGTGATCGACCTCGCCGTGGACTGGATGACGGACCTGAAGGAGGGTGTGTGCCTCTCGGCGTTCTGGTACAGCCATGAGCAGTGCTGCTGGACCTCCAACGAGACCACGTTTGACGACCGGGACAAGTGCCCACAGTGGCAGAAGTGGGCGGAGCTGATGACAGGCCACGCCGAGGTTGAGTTGCCCGCTTTTAGTGGTTGTGTGTGTTTCTTCAATGAGTGGACAGAGTGATGAGCTAACTCTGTGTTCTCTCAGGGAGCCGGAGCGTACGTGCTGAACTACTTCCTGTACATCCTATGGGCTCTGCTCTTCTCCTTCTTGGCGGTGTCGCTGGTGCGAGTGTTCGCTCCGTACGCCTGCGGGTCGGGAATCCCGGAGGTAACAAACTTTTTCACTGGATAAACAAATTCAATCAGTTGGAGTTGGCTCAGTTCATTTGAGCAGGCTTCTAATGAGGTGTGTTACTTGCAGCAGGTGGCATTAGGCCACGCCCCCATGCAGATACAGGAACTGAAGCCATGACATCAGTGGACACCACAGTTAGATGGTTTTTAACAGTTTTCCTGTGGGACTTTTTAAATGGAGTCTGATTCAGCCGTGCGTTCGCTCTCACATGTCTCCGTCTGTTTGCATGTTTTGTCAGATCAAGACGATCCTCAGCGGCTTCATCATCCGGGGCTACCTGGGGAAGTGGACCCTGCTGATCAAGACAGTCACGCTGGTGCTGGCCGTGTCGTCGGGCCTGAGCCTGGGGAAGGAGGGTCCTCTGGTCCATGTGGCGTGTTGCTGCGGAAACCTCTTCTGCAGCCTTTTCTCCAAGTACAGCAAGAACGAGGGCAAGAGGCGAGAGGTATGCTGCGGAAAAAACACTCCTGACCTTTGACCTTTTAAGGGCAGTAAGATTTCCTCACAGTGCCCCTCGATGAAGGAAAGGTCACGTAGATGTATGTGTGTCTGCCTCCTGCAGGTGCTGTCGGCAGCGGCGGCAGCTGGAGTGTCGGTGGCGTTTGGTGCGCCCATCGGAGGAGTCCTGTTCAGTCTGGAAGAGGTCGGCTATCAGACCGGACACAGAGTATCTGTAGCTCTTCCTCCTCTCTCCTAACAATGTCCTGTGCTTCCTCCTGCAGGTCAGCTACTACTTCCCTCTGAAGACTCTGTGGCGCTCCTTCTTCGCCGCACTGGTCGCGGCCTTCACGCTGCGCTCTATCAACCCATTTGGAAACAGCCGCCTGGTGCTCTTCTATGTGGAGTACCACACGCCGTGGTACATGGCCGAGCTGGTGCCCTTTATCCTGCTTGGCGTCTTCGGTGGCCTCTGGGGGACTCTCTTCATCCGGGCCAACATCGCCTGGTGCCGGCGGAGGAAGACCACACAGCTGGGGAAGTACCCGGTCTTGGAGGTGATTGCCGTGACGGGGATCACTGCCCTTCTGGCTTACCCCAACCCATACACCCGCCGCAGCACCAGCGAGCTTATCTCAGAGCTCTTCAATGACTGTGGCGCGCTCGAGTCGTCGCAGCTCTGCGATTACGTCAACAACCCCAACATGAGCCGGCCGGTGGACGACATCCCGGACCGCCCGGCGGGACCTGGTGTCTACAACGCCCTGTGGCAGCTCACCCTCGCACTCATCTTCAAGATCGTTATCACCATCTTCACCTTTGGCATGAAGGTCAGTGCGAGGAAGACGATGGGCTGGAAGTCGGTGTTTGTTTCCTGTTTCTGTTTCCCTGAGTGGATCTCTTTCCTCCTCAGATCCCCTCGGGTCTCTTCATCCCCAGCATGGCGGTCGGGGCCATCGCCGGGCGGATCGTCGGGATCGCCGTCGAGCAGATGGCCTACCATCACCACGACTGGATCATCTTCAAGAACTGGTGCCGGCCCGGCGCCGACTGCGTCACGCCGGGACTGTACGCCATGGTGGGAGCCGCCGCCTGCCTGGGTGAGTGCACCGTTCACCCATTAGAAGCTTTAAGATGTAGACATGATGAGGCCTTGTGTCAGGCCTGCCTGAAACAAGCTGGTTTAGCTCCTCCCCTTTTAACTCAAGCTTTGTTCTGATTGGCTGCCCCTGGTAAACAGCAG